CCAAAAGTGGCTAGCTCCATTCACCAGAGCGTAGTTTTTCTTCTCATTCAACCAACCGATGATCTTGAAGATCTTGATATGCATGAGCTCTCATTATTGGCTCGCTTTCCTTGACCCTCCCTGGTGACATTTCTTTCCTTTCCACTTGACCCCAACAGACATCTCAGCCAAGCCCTGGTGGTCAGTCTTCATGCAGCAGCCAACAGTCCCCCATCAGCAACTATTCCAACAGTGGGCTCGAGCTTCCTCTGACCGATGGAGGTAGTATAGGAGACCTCAGTGCCATTGATGAAACCCCAATCATGGACTCGACCATTTCCACTGCAACCACAGCCCTTGCTTTGCAAGCCAGGAGAAACCCGGCAGGGACCAAATGGATGGAGCACGTAAAACTAGAAAGGCTAAAACAAGTGAATGGAATGTTTCCACGACTGAACCCCATTCTACCCCCTAAAGCCCCTGCGGTCTCTCCTCTCATAGGAAATGGTGAGTTCTACATCAGACCATGCATCTGCTCAGGGGTTTTTTTTCTGTTCTTTTAAATGCAGACCCTCAGTTTTATGTTTACTAGTTTCTCCATTAGTCCTAAAATGACGCTGTAACCATCCGTTAATGTTGAACCCATTCAAGTTGCCTTTTCGGATGGTCCATATTTTAAAAACATCTAGGAACTGTATAATACTGAGAAAAAAAAATGTGACTGTGCATGACTCATATTCTGATGGTGAAATCATAACTGTTAGATTAGGGTAAGGGAATGCCAGCAGTAGAGGCATCTGTGGTTGGAACTCTGTCTCTGGTTTCCAAAATTTAAAACCAGGAGGTTAGCAGCCACTTGTATTTATATTTACCCAGTTCAAGGAAAGTCAAAAATCCCTCCCCATTGTCAGTCCCCAGGTCAGTTTGTACTTCTGAGGTTACACTTCTGAGAGCACCTAAGGGGTGGAGCTCTGCCCTGCACCAACACGGGTGTTACCTGTTGATAGGATGTGGCATGAACAGGACACCCTGAGCGTGAATGTGAAACTCGTGGAATACCTTTGCCTGGGGACTTGCCTGCAACTCAAGCGTTGTGTACCCATCACAAGATTCCTTTTGTCCTTGCACTGTGTTTGGGGAGGGGCTTTACTGAATTGAGGGAGTTGTTATTGTTTTGTTTAAGCCAGGCATCAGCGAACTATAGCCTGCGGCCATCTCCAGCCGCCCCTGTTTTGGTAAAGAAAGCTTCATGGGCACCCCGCCACGCCTGCTTGCTCACTGCTGTCTGTGGCTGTGTTGGGGCTACACTGCAGAGCTGAGTAGTTGTGAGGCAGGCAGTGTGGCTTGGGACACCAAAAATAGTTCCTAGCTGACCCTTTACAGAAAAGGGTTACTCATGCCTGGTATAAGTCATCCTCGAAGGGAATTTCTCCGCATGGTCTCTCCCTTTCTCTGTCTCCAGGCACACAGTCCAACAACACCTGCAGCTTGGGTGGGCCCATGACGCTTCTCCCGGGCAGAAGCGACCTCTCTGGGGTGGACGTCACCATGCTGAACATGCTCAACAGGAGGGACAGCAGCGCCAGCACCATCAGCTCCGCCTACCTGAGCAGCCGCCGCTCCTCAGGGATCTCGCCATGCTTCTCCAGCCGCCGCTCCAGCGAGGCGTCGCAGGCTGAGGGCCGGCCGCAAAACGTGAGCGTGGCTGACTCCTACGACCCCATCTCCACCGACGCCTCGCGCCGCTCCAGTGAGGCCAGCCAGAGCGACGGCCTGCCCAGCCTGCTCAGCCTCACGCCCGCCCAGCAGTACCGCCTCAAGGCCAAGTACGCGGCTGCCACAGGAGGGCCGCCGCCCACGCCCCTGCCCAACATGGAGAGGATGAGCCTGAAGACGCGCCTGGCGCTGCTCGGGGACGCCCTCGAGCCTGGCGTGGCCCTGCCTCCCGTCCATGCCCCGAGGAGGTGCAGCGACGGGGGAGCCCACGGCTACGGGCGACGCCACCTGCAGCCGCACGATGCGCCAGGCCACGGTGTGAGGAGGGCCAGCGACCCCGTGCGGACGGGCTCCGAGGGCCTGGCCCTGCCCCGTGTGCCGCGCTTCAGCAACCTCAGCAGCTGCAACCCCCCGGCGATGGCCTCGTCCGCGGAGAAGCGCAGCCTCGTGCTTCAGAATTACACGCGGCCCGAGGGCGGCCAGTCTCGAAACTTCCACTCGTCCCCTTGTCCTCCCAGCATCACCGAGAACGTCACCCTGGAGTCCCTGACCATGGACGCCGATGCCAACTTGAATGATGAGGATTTCCTGCCGGACGACGTGGTGCAGTATTTAAATTCCCAGAACCAAGCAGGGTACGAGCAGCACTTCCCGAGCACCCTCCCGGACGAGAGCAAAGTGCCCCACGGGCCCGGTGACTTTGATGCGCCCGGGCTGCCGGACAGCCACGCTGGCCAGCAGTTCCATGCCCTCGAGCAGCCCTGCCCCGAGGGCAGCAAAACCGACCTGCCCATCCAGTGGAACGAAGTCAGCTCCGGAAGTGCCGAACTGTCCTCCTCCAAGCTCAAGTGTGGCCCGCGGCCCGCTGTGCCGCAGACTCGCGCCTTTGGGTTCTGCAATGGCATGGTCGTCCACACGCAGAACCCCTTGAGGAGCGGGCCTGCTGGGGGCTATCAGACCCTCGGGGAGAACAGCAACCCCTACGCTGGCCCAGAGCACTTGATGCTTCACAACAGCCCCGGAAGTGGCACCAGTGGAAACGCTTTCCATGAACAGCCCTGTAAGGCCCCGCAGTATGGGAACTGCCTCAACAGGCAGCCAGTGGCCCCTGGTGCGCTCGACGGTGCCTGTGGTGCCGGGATTCAAGCCTCAAAGCTGAAGAGCACCCCCATGCAAGGGAGCGGGGGCCAGCTGAATTTCGGCCTGCCAGTAGCGCCAAATGAGTCAGCTGGCAGCATGGTGAATGGCATGCAGACCCAGGACCCCGTGGGACAGGGGTACCTGGCTCACCAGCTCTTCGGCGACAGCATGCAGCACCCGGGGGCAGGACGCCCCGGTCAGCAGATGCTTGGGCAGGTTAGTGCTACCTCACACATCAACATCTATCAAGGGCCAGAGAGCTGCCTGCCAGGGGCTCACGGCATGGGCAGCCAGCTGTCAAGCTTGGCAGTCGTCAGGGGCTACCAGCCGTGTGCCAGCTTTGGGGGTAGCAGGCGTCAGGCTATGCCAAGGGACAGCCTTGCTCTGCAGTCAGGACAGCTCAGTGACACAAGTCAGACCTGCAGGGTCAATGGCATCAAGATGGAGATGAAAGGGCCGCCGCATCCGCTGTGCTCTAATCTGCAGAATTACTCTGGTCAGTTCTATGACCAAACTGTGGGCTTCAGTCAGCAAGACACGAAAGCTGGTTCATTCTCTATTTCAGACACCAGCTGCCTGCTACAGGGGACCAGCGCCAAAAACTCTGAGTTACTTTCCCCAGGTGCTAATCAGGTGACAAGCACAGTGGACAGCCTCGACAGCCATGACCTGGAAGGGGTACAGATTGACTTCGATGCCATCATAGACGATGGGGACCACTCCAGCCTGATGTCAGGGGCCCTGAGCCCAAGCGTCATTCAGAACCTTTCCCATAGCTCCTCCCGCCTCACCACGCCTCGGGCGTCCCTCCCATTCCCAGCGCTGTCCATGAGCACCACCAACATGGCTATAGGGGACATGAGTTCTTTGCTGACCTCCCTAGCGGAAGAAAGCAAATTCCTTGCAGTTATGCAATAGGCTTTAGGAAAAAGGGACTGCAACCAACGTAAATCAATAGGAGTTGAAGAGATTAAGCTGACTTTGTTTTGGCTGTTTTTTAGTTCTGTATGTATTTTAGCAATCTCATCTCACCTAACTGAGATGTGTTTCAAATATATTCCTTTTATGGAAAAGGACTCTGAAAAACCCTAAAGTATTCTAGGGAGAAACTGTCTTCCATTTCAGTTTTGAATCAGTATTGTTACACTCAAACCACCCTCTTTTTTTAAAAAAAAAACAAAAACAAAAACAAAAAAACAAAACTGTAAGCCCCACCCCTTTTTAGTAAACCTATGTAAATGTGTGATGTGCATATTCTTCTTCCTTTTAGAAGAGCAGTCAAATTAAAGGATTTGACATGTTTTGCTGTTGCTCAAAGGAAATAGGAGTTGGTGTGCTTGTGACCAAGGGGTTACACTTCCAGCTTTTAAAATTCTCCTTTACATGTGCTCAGTGTTTTGTTTTGTGTTTTGGTTTCTGTTTTTTATTTTAATTCCCACATTGGGCACAAGAATCAGAATATGGATAGCGAGTTTAAGAATCTTTTGTGGGTGCACTGTAGCATAGATGACAGAATATTGATGTTTTCCCCATCCCCAATTCAGTTCAGGGCATACTTTCCACAGTTACACAGAAATGGGAATGCGGCGCTCTTGTAAATGAAATAGGCGCTCACAGTTTTGGTTTTCAGCTCTTCATGTCTGTAAGTGTGTTTTGGGGGAGGCTATGTCTGTATGGTTGGTTCTCACTTACCACATTTGCCTCTCCTCCCACTACCTTCATGAACAGTTAGTGCTGTTTAGCACTGCAGTTAAAGAGAAGGGACTGGCAGTTGGTGACAGTTACATTGCTACTTTTATCTGTTCTGGTAAGAAGTTAGATTGTAGATTGAAGCATTTGGGTAGAATTAGTTGGGGGAATATTTGTGGGTTGCTGTGTTTGTTGATTAGTTCCATCCCTCCCATTTTAACTGAGAATTGATTATATATAGCTCTAAGTATATAGGTATTTAAACAACCCAACAAGCAGCTGTATCAGTAACATTTATTAATTCCACTATAGTGAAGGAGGATTTCCATTTTAAATACCTTATTTTGAGGGATTTATAAAACTTAGTTGTAAAAGAGAAAGCCCACATAGTGAGAATAAATTGCTTCAGCCATTTTTAGTATTTGAGAGCACTAGGGAAGATGTTTAGTAGCTGTATGGATGCCTTTTTTCACACCCTGTCTATTGAATGCTGCATCCATTCACAAAGTTAAGTGTTATATGCAGTTAGTCCTTAATGTGGACTGGATCTGTACTTTTGGATTAAAACATTTAAAGATTTTTGAAGTGCAGCTGCTTCCCATGTGCATTTGATACACATAAAAGTCATACTGTGTGTGCACAAAGAGTACATGGATTTTCCAGCATATTGCTTTTAAAAATATGTAAACTATTAAAATATTAACACCTCAGGCTACCTGCTGTATTCTGTCCCATTGACCCCTGGAATTGGATTTATTGCAAGTGATTGATAATTCAATTATGTGGCTTTTCCCCTTTAATCCTGCCATTTAAATTACAGAAGAAAGACAAAATCAAGTAAAATAAAGTGTTAGATAATAGAAAGAGTGTTAGGACGAGCCCACTTTTCTCATATTTATGTTCTTTCATTTGGACCAAGAATCTCTCCGCATGGAGGCTGATTTGCTGTTGGGGACTTTGGCTAAGACTATTGGGTTTGTTTTCAACTAGATGTTCCTGAGACGAGCAGAGGGATGCCGCAATTTCCCCTCCATGCCTGCTGTCCTCCCCCATGTAAGTCTTCTTTGAAATTAAAGGATGTGTCTCCTTTGGAACAGCCCCATAACAAAAGAGAACTGCTGATCTGAGCGTAGGAGAGTGGAGGCTCTACCACTTTTCAGCTGAAAAAGCAAGATTTTCTCTGTGTTTCTGAAACAGGGCACGATGTTGTCACAAAATCAGAGATCCAGTCTCACTTTTCCACAAATCTCCAAATCTCTGGTTTTATCTTGTGTGCTCTAATGGTTTGGCTCAATTCCTTTCCAACTCTTGTTTTCAAAGCTTGGGGCCTGAGTGTTCTTCATTCCTCCTGAGAAAGGAGCTTGGATGGAAGGCACCATGCTGGCCTCCTCCATCAGAGGGCTCTTCCAGTAGTATTCTTCAATGCAACCTCCATTTCTCAGTTACCATCATTTCCCGTATCAGCTTTGTCCTTCCCGAGGGATGCACAGTGATCGGTCCACCTCTGTTGTTGTCTTGTGCTTCTGCTCTTTCCTGTGGTTTCAGGTTGTTTTCTGGGTTTCCCCCATTCATACACACACACACACACACACACACACACACACATACATACATATATATATTTGCTTTCCTTTCTACTGCTTTTAGATTTCCAGGAGATACTAGTTTCAGCTCAAGGTTTGACTTCTCTCAATATGGAAATTTCAGAAGGATGGAGGAGAGGAGAGAGGGAAGAAGAAAGTGTACTCCTCCAGAATTTCAGTGATCTGTCATGGCAGTCCAGTGGAAGGAAGGTCTTTTGAGGTCTCTTAGAAGTATCCTTTTGGGACGTCCTTTTGGGATCTCTGTAGGCTAGGCATCTCATATCTTGAGACTCACCCCCAGCCTCCAAGCCTCTCTCCATTTCTGTAACCTGCGCATTTAGAGCGAGAGGACCGCCTCACTAGTGTCACCATCCTGCCTTTTCTAAAACAGGCAGGCTCACACACAGTACTCCTGCTTAATGTCTGTGTTAAACTTTTTCTAACCATTTTTGTTTTGTTTTTCTGAAAAAGTTAACCCCTCCCAACTCCTCACACACTGGCTCTTCCTCTTGAGCCACAAAGTTTTGATTCTTGCGATGTATGTGCCTTATTTTATGTTAATCTTGTCAATGAGAGGGACCAGTTGGTGTTGCCCAGTCAGCACTCTGAGGCTGTGTGTGCACCAGCCAGAGAGTGCACAGTGGTAGCAGAGTCGAGGCTGTCTTGTATCCTGGTTTCCGGTGTTGTTTTGAACTGATAGGAGGATGTTCTCTTCTGACAAGTTACCCTTGTGTATCCTGCAGACGTGTAAAATAAAATACAAGTTCATTTTTTTCACCTTTTTTAGATTTTTAAAAAATAAAATGTGTAATCCTTTTTTAAAAGAAACACATGTAAATACATTTAAGTATTGTAGGCATAGCGTTCGGATGTGACTGGCCCAGGCATTCCTCGGACAAGCCTGCATTCCCCGTGATCACGCCCACCTCAAGCCCAGGGGCTGCAGCCCAGCCACAGATGAACTCTACCTTTGCTTTCAGAACCACTTAGTCCTTTTGTAACAAAGAAAAAAAAATGTTTCTTACAATGTCAATAAAAAATTCTTTGTACGGAAATTTTTACTGTGTTGTTTATTAAATGCATAGTTGAATGGAAAGAGTGCTTTCTTTGAAAACATCCAGAGCCTGTAGTTGGATCCAGAATCTCCACGTACAAGCTGAATGGACTTTTGCTGTGAAATCTGGATTCCTTAGCCCTAAACTGGAGAATAAGATGCAGATACATCCATGCTCATGGTGTTGTGAGGATGTGTACCCGGGGGGCACACCAGTTGCAACCATTATTGTGTTTCTTTCTTTTATTGCTTTCCAAATTGAATGAGGAAGGACGGTGATGGAGTTTAATGTCTAACAACTTAATGTGTCCCTCTTTTATATATTATCCTCTTATTTCAGGGATGCCCTACCACATATCAACAGAAAATCTGACGTGGTAGAAGCCTACTTTATGTGGCTTTTAGTAACTGACCTCAGCCAGAATAAATTGTCTTCCGTGTTTTTCTTGTGTCGGTGTGCAATATTATTCTCCAGATCACTGTAAACTACTCCAAAAACCTTCTCTTCCTCTTTCTAAGTAGCAGCACATGTCTTTTGAGCCATCAACTGAGGGTAGTTGTTTCTTGGAAGGGCGGGAGTCCCGGCTGTGGGTATCGCAAGGCTGCAAGGATGGACGCATGCATGTGTACACGGGCACACACATGCACACACGCATATATAAACACACAGGTGCAACAGCATGTGTTCCCTAGGCCTTATGTCCTGTGGGGGATGTATGTTCCCTGTCCTCCAGCAGGGTTTCTTCAGCCATAGGGATGCTTCATGCTTTCCTGATTCTTGGGGAGAATTTCCTCCCGTCCAATCTGAGATGCTTTGCGTTTGTAACTAGATCCCTTATATAAGGCATCCAAATGAATCCAGAAAAAAAAGGAAAAATATGAATTTTTGCCCTGCCTCAGGTATAAATTGTCAACTCACAAAGAGATATGCCATGTATCGAATCAAAATAAATGAAAGAAATGAGGCTAAGAGAAAGGAAACGTAGGGCAGGGACATCCCCAGGAACGAGGTGGGTGACATGGACTCCTTCAATTCACATGAGCCTGGGGTGGATGGGGCTCACAACTTTGTAAAAATGCCTCTTGCACAGGAAATACAAAGGAAGCAGAGTTTGAGGTTAAAAGGTGGAACTACAATCTGTTATTTCATAAAGATCTCCTTTAAGGAATTTTGGGGATGTAAAGACATTATATCTTACCCAAACGAGAATATAATAGAATGCTAAAATGAGAGGTGAACATTCACCTACTGCCAAAATGTCTTGATTTGTCCTTACTTCCCCCTCCCAGGTTTTCTACTTATTTTCTTGGCAGTCTTCCCTTTTGGTTTGACTTTAGAGTATATTTACTATTCCAAACACAATCTAAACACATCTTTCCTTTCATATTAGCCTTTACTTTCTACAATGTCATTTTACTAATGTAGACCTTGTTTATGCCTTTTCTACCTAGTTATTCAAGTGCTTGACAATTTTTCAAAACAGTAATAGACTCTAAATTGTTTTTAGGCTTTTTTTTTTCTTTGCATACATTTTATAGCCAGAGACTGGCCCACACTCACCTAGCAGAGGCATGGAAATTCCATTCTACAACTTTTCTCACCTGTCCCCAAATCTCGAATGTCACACACTGCTTCCACCTTTCCTCAGCACCCAGTGGTAAGTTATCATGACCCTGCCTTCAGAGACCTTGCACTGTCTGGGACATAGGGCAGTGATGACATGTTCCATTAATTCAGCCATGCTGCCTCAGTATCTAATATTCCATTCATATTCTCTTATAAGGACTGGAGATGAGGAGATGAATTAAACACAGTTCATATCCATGAGCTCCCAGCCCAATGGGAGAGGCAGACAGGGAAACAGGATGCAATGGCAACTCATAATGGAAGATGTTCAAGGGGAAGTTCAGCTTGGGGCACTGTCCATCTGGAGTGCCTGTCGCAGGGCTTCTCGGACATGCTACTATCGGCATTCAGGGCTGGATAATTCTTTGTTGTAGGGCAGTGTCTTAAGTACTATAGAATGTTTAGTGGTGTCCCACTAGATACCAGTAGCATCCCCCCACGTGGCGACAGCTAAAAACATCTCCAGACATTGCCACATGTCCCATGGCAGGGCAAGGGGGAGACGTCACTGCAGACGGAGAACCCCTGGTTTATGGTGAAAAAAATACAAGGAGAGAGATTCGGCAGGCAGGCGTCCAGAGAGAGATCCCAGTACAGGCCCAGACTCAGCAGCCTTTGATCTGAAGGTGACAGACGAAGAAAGGGTAAGAGCGTCATTGTCAGGCACAGGGGTATGGGGTAGCAGGAGTAGAGGACTGAAGAAGAAATCCGGAGGATCACTGGCTCCAGGAACCAAGAGACATGAAGGCCTGCATAAGAAAGGGAGTAGGGGAGGGATGGGGAGGGGAGGGAAAGGGTAGGGAGGGGAGGGGTGGGAAGCGGAGGGGAGGGTGGGAGAGACAGCAGAGAGAGTGTGCTCTAGAAACAGGGAGGCTGATTCTAGAAGGCCAATACTGTCAAAAACAACATCCAGATCAAGTAAAACATGGACAGGAAAAGATAGGTTTTAAGAGTTAGGAGACCCTGGATGACTGCAGGGAAGCATTTTTCACTGGCGTGGTTGGGAAGAGAAACCAGAACACAATAGATGAGAATTAAGTGACACATGGAAAAAAAGGGGAATGCAGTGGCCTCTTTGAAGCAACATACCGCATTTCACCCCCTCCGAGACACCTTCCATAGTAAGACACATGGTGCTCCATGTTCCCACTGAGAAAGAACATGCACTGCCCATTAAACTATGACATGGTGCTTTTCATCCTCTAACAGGTAAGCTCCGATTTTAGTAGTTACCAAATTGGGAAAAAAAAAATGCATACCTTGGAGAGTATGAAAGACATTATTTCCCAAGGAAAGGAAAGAGATAGTGGATCAAGGAGGGGTGGAGAGGAGGAAAGGTTGAACTTTTCTTGTAACTGTTCCGACTGTGCTAGCCGGCTAATAGAAAAGAGGCAACAGAGTGCACAAGGTAGATGTTCCAGTGAACAGAGCCGGCATGGCAACTCCCTTGACCCACGAGACAGATAACTGTCCTGGGTGATTAGGCAGAGAGTAAGGACGAGGGGAAGTTCTGATTGATGTGCTGGAATGGCCATAGGTCAAGCAACCCAGAGAATGCAAAGGTGACTTAGACCTGTGAAGACAAGACCATCTGGCAACGTGTCGGGAAGGCCCCTGAGCCTGGCCTGGGCCTCTGAACTGAATGGGGAGTGAGGAAGCGGTTGGAAGGTGGAACAGGAAGAGGAAGCAGCCCGAGGATCACGCGTCACTGCCCACTGCTGGGTTCCTGCAGGACCTAGGTTGAATAGACTAGGGGCAAGCCTCAAGGGTGGTGGGGGAAAATAATTCTGTAAAACACTCTTTGGCAATGACAGGAGTGGCACGCAAGGAGGGTGCTGGAGAAGGACTGGAAGTGGATGGGGTGGAGGGAGTGCCCTCGGACTCTTGCGGGGTCCACAGCTGCCCTGCTGTTGGGTTCCTCAAGTGGCCAGAACTCCCTCCCATTCTGCAAGTTCCTCCTCCCTCCCTGTAGGAAGAAAGCAGGAGAGTGGGCAAGGGAGGGGCTGCAGAGGTCGGGAATGATGCACTCTTCCCGTCAGCTTCCTCCCAGCCCCCAGCAGTCCGGTTCCAGCCTGACCGCTGCAAAGGAAGACTGTGACCACAGAGGTGGCATGCTGGGGAGAACTGGGGCCAAGAAGCAGGATTTGCTATCACCAGCTCTTCACAAAGAAAGCAGGGAACTGTATGTGGAATTCCCCAGGAACAGTGCATGGACCTAGTTTTTTTCTTTTCACTCTACAGGAACATTGTAATGAAGTACCAGGCTAATTTCCTCATAGGTACCTTGACTTCTCACCCTGCCGCAGCTCTATGGGGCTCAGCTCACACTTCTCTCTTGCTTCTGGTTTCCCTTCTCCTACTTGAGACTTCCCAGCCTGTGGCTGAGTGGTTGAAGTGAGAAGTGGCCTGGCAAGTCTGCTAACCCGACTGGAAGGAGCACTGCAGTGCCAAAGAGCTGGCCAACCTCACCCAGGGGCCTTCCGTTTGGGACCGAGGCCTGCTGCTAACCTGGGGGAAGCCTTCAGCATACCTAGGTAGGGGAATGTGCATGTATTGGCTTTGCTGTCTTCCTGTGCTGTTTCGGTCTTTGTCCTCATACCCCATCTAAAGAAAGACCCTCTAGCCACTCCAGTTGGAAGCAACTAAAACCTGATCACTCCCTACCTTTGAAAAAGATCCAGTCTTAGAATGTATGCTTCTATGCCAATGGTAGAAGGGACATCTCAGCAGTTAGCTCCCTTCTGTGTGCCTGTTCCTGAACTACTGAAATAAAAAGCCCAAATATGCATTTGGTCATACGTGCAGCCATCCTGGTGCTCTGCTCATGCCCTGACTGACGGCTGGAGAGCTTATGCAAGGTTTACCTTATCTGAGGTCATCACGGAGCAGATACAGGAAGAGGACTAAGTACTCTTCTTCTACTTTGCTTCCCTACCTGCAAAATCCTCTGCTCCTGGAAGGCTCCCTAAGAAAAGATGGGGAAAGAAAAAGCACTCGCTCTCTCCCTGTGAACAGTTCAACTCACTTTGAATCCTGCAGTGCCTCCAGATGAGTGTTCTTCCCCTGCAGCTGGAAAGCCTCTTGTGCTCAGAAATTCCAGAGTCCCAACATGATCCATGCTCAGAAGTTGGGCTACAGCTCTTAGGAGCTGGCAGGCACAAACCTCCAGCCCTTCAGGGCTTGCAAGAGCCAAATGCGCTGCGGAGGTGTGATTCACTGAGTTCCCAGAGGAAAGGGAGGCAGCCAGCTGGCAGGGGATTACTGAACAGCCAGGCCAAGGCATTCCATTGCTGTTTGGAGACAAGCAGGCAGCTACCTCCCTTCTCTTCCTCCCCCACTGAGGCGCAGAGCTGGAGACAGGCCAGGGCCCTAGGGGAAGAAGAGAAGGAACTGAGCTGCCTCACTTACTACCAAGATAAGAAGTCTGTGGCTGCTATCCCTAGTAAGCCAAGACAAGAAATGCTTACATTTTCGTTTGAAGATGATTCTGACGCCCCCAAATGTTTATCCAAAATATACCTAGATGCATTGCCCAGAGAGAATTTTTTAATAAGCAGCAAACTGGGTAAGCAAGAAAAATTGTACTGGCTGAAGAACAAACAAAAAAGCCCAGTGGGTATGTCATAGCTCAAGGATTGACTATATTCTCCTAAATAAGAGACTTCTTTCTCTCGTGCCTTGGATATCTCAGGCTCTCTGGGGTGACTGTAAGTTATAGATTTATTTCTCAGCCATTCTTAGTCCTGATGCTCTTCAGAAACTCACTGCTCTATGAACCCAGGTCCCCTAGACACCTTCCATTTGATCCACATCTTTCCAAAGATGAAGTCATGAAATATGGTAAGTATTTCTTCTGAAGTTCATGCAAAGAACAAAAACCAAAGATCCAGTCCAAGCTCCCTCCCCTTTGAGTTTAGATAAATGAGTCATTTGAATTGAGGTAATAATCCAGACCCTTTCTCACCCACCTCTGCCCCATCTACAGGATAGTAACAACACTTTCTCAGAGCCTTCAAAGCAAAGGGGAGAAGAACATTCTGCTGACCTGCAAGACCGAAGGTCAAGGAGCAGACTTTCCTTGGGTTCCCTTGACCCAGGGTTTCTTCACTTGCTCTGCAGTTTTAGACAATGTAATATGACTTCCCTCTGTTCCAGTTGAATACCCAGCAGCTTCCAACATGGTGATGATTCCAACTTTTTTGAAATGCATTCTGAAGCTATCCTAAATCAAGTGGATTTAACACTGAGCCAAAAGGAAGGCTTTGGAAAACAAGTTGATTTTAATCCAGCCTTACCAGCCCTGTGTACTAGAATTTTAGCTTCATTCAGTCACAGGGTTTCCCCTCTTGAGAAGGAGTACAAAGAGGGTAAAGAAAAGGTGGTACTCTGACACCACCCAACTGCCTGGATTCAGTTCTGCAGTTCAGTTCTGGCACAAACTACATGGAGGCTGGTGTCAGTGTAGACCCCATGAATTAAGAGCTCAGTCCTCCACAAGACAGTCCCAACTTCAGATGCCAGCCAGAAGTTGAGGGGGTTCCCAGGGCCATTCATACTTCTGACCAACTGGCTACAAATTCAGAGGTTGCCCTAACCCCCTCAGGTTGATAATTCTTTGGAACGATTCACAGAATTCAGAAAAGCACCACCTTTGTTATTAAACTTTTATCATAAAGACTACAACTCAGGGACAGCCAAATGAGGAGATGCATAGGGTGAGTTCTGGGAGGGCCTTGAACCCAGAGCTTCCATGCCCTCTCCTTGTGGAGTCAGGGTCTTTCTCCCTGTAGACAGATCAATATCTTCATCAACCGGAAAGCTCCACTGACTCTCAGGGTCCAGAGGTTTTACTGGGGCTTAATTATGTAGGCATAATTAATTAAATCATTGGCCACATTATTAAATTCCATCTCCAGCCCCCTTCCCCTCTGCAAGAATCAGGTTTGGCCCACTGTCCCATCTCCAATCGTATGGTTGGTCTTTCTTGTGACCAGCCCCATCTTGAAGCCATCTAGAAGCCACCATGAGTTACTTCATTAGAAAAAACTCAGGTGTGATCCAAGGGTCTCATTATAACAAAGACACTTCTATCACTGGGGAAATTCCAAGGCTTTTAGCATCTCCCTACCAGGAACCAGGGAAAAAAGTCAGTCATATTTCTTCTTATACAACAGGGGTATCTCTTTGGAAATAAACCAGTCTAGGACTAAGAAAGAAAAATAGATGAGAGCAAGACATGCCTGGAGCTATAGAGTCCCAGTTGCTGGAGAAGAGCTGACCCGGGCTGACATTTGGACAAAGTGCCAGCACCTTCTTCAAAGTATTCATTCCTTGTAGCTTCCAAGTTCTTATCTGGGAAAGAGGACTTGAGATTGTCGATATAAAATGCTGAGCATATTCAGCACCAAGTAAGTGCTCAGTGAAAGTTTGTGTTGTTGTTGTTACTTATTTTCCCTCACCCTGGCAGGGATTTCACAAGACTGAAGTTCAGGAAAGAAGGCCCACAATATGCAGGAAGAAAGGGAAAGCAAAGGGGTGCATTGAGGCCCATCCACCTGCTGTTCTTTCTGAAACCAAAGGCAGACAGACTTGTGCACTGTGTGTTAGGATGTGAGAACAGAACACTACGAACGTATTTTCATTCATCCAATCTGGTAGGAATCAAAAGTCCAAAGAAGCAAGCCCTGGACATGGTATTTTACTCCAATGTCCAAGGTATAATCGGCTCCTGACAGGAATTCTAGAATTTATATTTAATACTAAAACAACAAAAAAGGACAACCATTTTAAAAAGGTATTTTATTATCATACCTATGTGTGATATAAAAATTAAAAATAGGCCAGATGCGGTGGCTCAAGCCTGTAACTCCTGCACTTTGGAAGGCCGAGGTTGGCGGATCACGAGGTCAGGAATTCAAGACCAGCTTAGCCAACATAATGAAACCCCATCTCTACTAAAAATATATAAAAATTAGCTGGGCATGGTGGCCGGCACCTGTAGTCCCAGCTTCTTGGGAGGCTGAGGCAGGAGAATCGCTTGAACCCAGGAGTCAGAGGTCGCAGTGAGCTGAGATCACGCCACTGCACTTCAGCCTGGGCGACACAGTGAGACTCTGTCTCAAAAAACAAATAAAAATAAAAAAATAATAATAGAATCAAAGCCAACTGTCGTTCACCCATTCAGAAATGCCATTTTGTGATGTAGTTCTAAGTCTTTTTTAAATATATATCTACATGTATATATATATAGATGTGACATCTATACATATAGATATAGATGTGATATTTATACATATCCACATGCATATATATATAGATGTGATAATACAAATTGAGCACCTCAATTTGAAAATCTAAAATTTGAAATGCTTCAAAATCTGAAACTTTCTGAGTGCCAACCTGACACCAGAAGTGGAAAATTCTACACCTGACCTCATGTGATGGAAATACAAAATTATTAAAAATATTGTATAAAATTACCTTCAAACCATGTGTATAAAGTATACACAAAATATAAATGAATTTTGTGTTTAGACTTGAGTCCCATTCCCAAGATGTCTCAGTATGGATATGCAAATATTTCAAAATCCAGAAAAATCTGAAATTTGAAGCACTTCTGGTCCCAAGTATTTTGGGTGAGGAATACTTACCCTGTAGATGTGTGTGTGTGTGTGTGTGTGTGTATACACTCAATAAATATATTTGCACAATCCAGACCCACCCTGAAACCTCACCAGACTATAAGATTCACACCTCTTGTCACTGCAATGAGAATTGAGGTCAAAGACAATCCATATTTCACCACATAGAACCCTGCAGGAAATTTGTCTTCAATTATTTTATTTGCCTGGTTTTGAAAATGGGTAATCATTTTTTTTAATTAAAAAAAAAACTTTTTAAGGATAGGGTCTTGCTATGTTGCCCAGGCTGGTCTCCAACTCCCAGCCTCAAGTGACCCTCCCACCTTAGCTTCCTGAGTTGCTGGGATTACCTGAACTTGCCACCGTGCATGGCCTCCAGGGTGATATTTCTGAACAATTCTTTTGTCACAAAATTTATTGTTTCGATGCTTCAAGTATTTTGCATTTAAGATAAATTATCTCCTATAGCATTCAAGAATGTGACCCAGTGACAAGAGTCTGGTAAGGAGAAACATATAGTTCTGTGCAAAGACAGGCACTCAATATTTTGCTATGTTTACTATGTTTGCTATGTTTGCTATGTCTTTTTTTAATGCATTTTTTCAGAAAAATGCATACTCATTTACCTATTATAGAATGAATACATACTCTTTGTGGAAAATAGAGTAAGGCATCAAAGAAAATAAAAGCCACTTGTCATTCAATTACCCAGAAATAGTATTCTGTTATCTAGTTCTGGGTCTGTTTTATAACACGTAACATTTACTAACGAATATTTGTTCCATGTCATTCATTAAAAATTCTTCAGAAACTTTTCAGTGGCTGAGGAAAAGGGAGGACCAGTGGTGGGGAATCAGGAGATTGAACTGCTTTTCCCACCTCATAGCTGCAAAACTGGCTAGGTTCTGTTTTTCTCTTTCCTTATGAAGGGATCAAAAACTCAACAGCAGACACAGAAAGAAATCTTAACTGAACTTACCTTATCTGATTAAAGCAGAGCTTTAAGAGACTCAGCTGCCACCACAATCCCCCCATACAGATCTGTGGAGGTCAGGATGGTGACTGACTTAGGCACCATGACATTCCAAAAAGGAAATTGTGTGAAGCCTCATCAGAACCTTCCTGGCTTTGAAGCTCTAAACTTTTCCTTTTGCTAAGCTGCTGCATAAACCTGTACCTCTGGCTAGACAGCGAGTTACTCTTTACAGGGTACTCCTGCATGCAGGTAATCAGCCTTGTCTCTTCTCCTGTTTCCATATCTATGGCCAGTTAATTCTCAGGCTTCCAATCATTTAAACCTAATATGGTAGAGGAGAAGTTTTCTTCCTGACAGTTCTGATGATGAAGGTGATGTGGCTGGGACTCTTTGCTCTATGACCAAGCCGGATGAAAGATGCTTTCTCACTAATCAGACGCCGAGATTTCTGTCCGGGGCCAGCCCAGCAAGGGTGGTATGAGACTCTTCTTGTCTTTTTCAAAATGTAGATTTACAGGAGAATGCTTTTGGTTAGAACTAGGTCTTTGGCTGTTGTGACCCCTGTTACAGATAGCAACTGTGCATCTGTTCTGTTTTGTGTTGTGCTGTTTAAAAGTATTATTTGTTATAAGAAAGCGAGTGATAGGGCAGAACCCAAGTATTGGTCTTATAAGTCAATATTGCTTATAAATATTGCTTTTAAATATTGTAATATTTAAAAGTATTATTTGTTATAAGAAAGCGAATGATAGGGCAGAACCCAGGTATTGGTCCTGTAAGCCAATATTGCTCACTGATAGTGTCCTGAGAGCTTGGCTTTAGAAATCAGAGAGGGCATTCTCTCTGGTTTTCCACCTACCAATGTTGTCAATTGCCAGATCTGTGTCTAGAGGTCAAGTTGGGAACCTGAGACACAGGGCACATTCCTACCCACCATTGCCACCTCTCAGAGGATGTCCGAATCTAAGCCCTTTCCTTGACCATTGCCTTCGATGCCTGTGATAACTTGGTTTACTTTCTGTTATCTTTGGGCATGATTTTGGATTACGAGGGCTG